TTCTCTGAGATGCCTAGGCCAGAGCAGGGAAGGGTGGCTTTGAGAGCTTCCATTTTTTTCTGCACAAGCTGTTCATCATCCTGGGTGAACTTACATGTTCCCTCAAGGATCTTGCGGACACTCCAGATCTCTTCTGCTACAGTACTGCTCACTCTCCCCTCTGCCATCTTGCAGCGGGTCAGGAGGTTCACCAGGTATGTGAGCCTCTGGATTTCACTTTGGAGGTCATCCAATTCCTGGCTTGTGAAGCTCAAACGCTTCTTGGCTAGCCACTCATGGACCTGGTCTAGACGAGTCCTCACTTTTCTTCGTTCTGAGGAATGCACCTTTTTCAGGGAATCCAACAGTCCAGCCAAGTGGTCATAGAAGCTGATGTAATTCTCAACAAGGCCCAAGTCCTTCACTGACAGATTTTTCTGGGCTAGCTTCTCCATCAACATCAGGAAGTCTTCGGGAAGCAGCTGCTGAAGGAGGCTATTCCTCTCTAGCAGGGCCTGAAGTCGTTCCCGGCTGGTTGCAATTTCCCCTGCTGAGCCCTGGATCTTTTCTTTGATTATTTCAATCTCTTCCAGCCGCTGTTTGATGCTGGTTCCATACCTCAGGTTTTTGCGAATGGGTACCTGGCACATAGGGCAGACCTTCAATCTGATGGCAACTTCATCATCCTTATGCTCATCCATGTAGCGATCCAGGGCTTGAACCTCAAATATGTGGCTGCAGTCTTCCAGTTGCACAAAGCGGGCATCAGGCTCATCCTCAGAGCCAAAGAAAATTTGGGTGACTTCCTCCTGGTGGCAGACACGGCACTTCGTAGGACACGGCTCTCCACACAAACCAATGCAGGGGTGGCCACAAGCCAGCAGCTTAGTGCAAGGCACGTAGCATGGGGGTCGGTTGCAGGGCTCAGAGCAGAGTTTGGTGCACTTATAATGCTGGCAGCGCCAAATACAGGGTTCCACGCAGGGGCTACACAGTTCCCCACATTTCTTCTTGCACTGGCTGTGGACACAGCGGTTCTGACAGGTCCGCTGGCAGGGTGGGCACTCGCCAATGCATGGCTCCTGGCACTTGTGTGAACAGATGAGCAGTCGCTTGCAGGCCTTCTGACAGCGCTCATGAAAGCGGCCTTCAAAGCAGTTGTGGCAAGAGCCAGGGCAAGGATGCCCACAATCCAAGATGGTGCCACACTTGGTGGTGCACTTGACTGGTAGGCCATACTTGAGGTCTTCTACATTACCACACTTCACCTGTTGATTGTGCCCACACTTGAGTTTCACGGTGACCATTTCTGAACACAACTGCACACAAAGTTCACCACATGGGTGGCTGCATCTGTGCCCACATTTCAGAACTTTGGGGCAAGGCTCTTGGCAGCAGAATTCTGACTCAGGCATGGAACAAGGGACCATTTGTTCATGGCCACACCGAAGAATGATTTTGGGCACCTTCACCTGACAAGGCTGACATTCTTGGAAGCAAACAAGGGGGCATCGATGCCCGTCTTGGCAGATAACCTTCTGGCATGGCTTCATACACTGGAACTCCTTGTGCAAGGAGTCATAGGGGTGGCAGGCACGGGTGCAGACATGTCCACAGCCCAGTCGGAACTCACAGGGGAGACTACAACCTCCTTCTGGAACTTTTTGGAAGTCAGAAGCTTTGGATACTAAAGTGTGGGTATTGGGGTGGTTCTGGCAGCACAGCTGGAGTGCTTGGCCTATTTCATTGTTCTCTCGAAGGGTATGGATGATCTTGCTCCACAAAGGTACTTTGGCCATCATCTGCATGTTTCCAATACAGTACATCCCCTTCTTGGCGCGGGACAAGGCCACACAGATGCGGTTGGGTATCTGGAGAAAACCTACCTTGCCCTCCTGGTTGCTCCGCACTAGTGAGAGGATGATGATGTCATTCTCTTCCCCTTGGTATTTGTCCACCACGTGGACCTTGACACCAGCAAATGTCTTAGCTGGCATGAGTTTGCGCAGACAGAACAGCTGCCCAGTGTAAGTGGTGAGGATGGTAATCTGGGAGGGCAGGTATTCCTGGCACAGGAAGTACTTGCACAGCTCCACCACAAAGTGAGCCTCGTGCTGGTTTTGGTGGCTTTTGCCTTCTTGGATTTCCTGTTCAGGAAAGTTGTGTTCTATAAAGAAAAGGTTAGAAGCGACCCCCTGGAAAGGAGAAAAAGTGACACGTTAGAAAGTTCTCACATAGCAGTTTTCTCTTTCTATTTTCACATTCGTTGGCTATTGACCCTGTTCGCCTTTTGTATACTCGGTACCACTATCTTTTTTTAAAAAAAATGTATTTTATTGATTTTTTACAGAGAGTAAGGAAGAGGGATAGAGAGTTAGAAACATCGATGAGCGAGAAACATCGACCAGCTGCCTCCTGCATACCCCCCACTGGGGATGTGCCCGCAGCCAAGGTACATGCCCTTGACCGGAATCGAACCTGGGACCCTTCAGTCCCCAGGCCGATGCTCTATCCACTGAGCCAAACCGGTTAGGGCGGTACCACAATCTTTAATCCTGTAGTCACCATGTGCTCTCTTTTGGGGGCATTGACAAATAGTGAAATGGATAAAGAATTTATGCCTAATTTTAGTTTTCAAGATACTTATTTGATATTAATATTTATAATGGCCACACACAATCCAGCCATTATAGTTCAGGGAATAAGCAGCAGCTATGATGAAGAAGATGAGACAGATTATTTATGAGCACTCTAGTATGCTGATTGCTTTATATATCTTCTCTCCTTCAATCCAAAAATGTAATAAGGCAGCAGTCATTCTCCTTGTACAGAAGACCCTAATATTCAGAATTGGTATATAACTTGCTAAAATGTTACACAACTACTAACTGGCAGAGCTGTGATTCAAAACCCAGGTCTGTATTCTCGAATTCTATAATATTCCTCCTTTTAAAAACCAGCTTTTTATAAAGCTGGCTCTATTCCCTTCTAAAAGCTCTTATTCAACCTGAGGAAAATACAGTCTCCTAGGTCGCTGACAGCAGCAGATTAGGTAGGATAGACTCACCTTAATCTTCTCATATTTGAGAACAGAGGGATGATTCTCTAGATCCTGGTAAATGTGGGGTGTCAAAAGCCGGGCAATTTCAGGGCGCATGCGGTGCTGAAACAGGACATGTATATCATTAGGACATGGGCAGAGAATAAATGCAGTTTTCTAAAGACTAGGTTACTGGTGGAAAATCAGGGGAAGCAACATTTGAAAATAATAATAGGGAGAAAAGAGCAGAATGTAAACAGCTCCTTCATCCAACACACACTCAACATGGGTTGATTTTGCGATTGCGATACTTAAAACAGAAAACAAAGTAAGTTTGAGAGTCATTTCATCACTAAAGCAGTTTTATTTTTATGAGAACTTTCTTACTGGCTGTTGGAAGGCTTCCAGGAGCCTTCTCCTAGACAATTCATAATAACAGAGGCCCGGCTTCTCACCTGGTAATTCAGACGGACAAAGGGAATGTTTACTTTCACCAGCCGTTCAAAGAGGGACACCTCAAGGTTGAAATTCTTGGCCAGATCATACACGTTGGCACTGGGGCGCAGCTGAAAAAAGAAACATAGCTGAGAATTCTCTACTGAAAACTTATTTCATCCATTCACCCACCCACCCATCAAATGTTTTTTAAATGCCTTCTATGTGCCAGGCACTGCTCTAGGTGCTGGCAGGCTAAGGATAAAGAGTGACCAGGGCCACGAAGGACAAAGTGCCCAGGGTTACAGGCTCTTTAGCTAGGCCTCTCTGTACAGTGACATTTGAGTTGATGTCAGAATGGAAGAGGTTGCCACTCATTCGAAAAGCAAGCCATGAGAGGGAGCAGATAGGGGGTGGGAACACAATGAGATGGTGGTATAAGGTGAAGTCAGAGAAGCAGGCTGAACCCTGAGAATACTGTAGGCCACTTTAAGAAGCTTGATTTTTATATTAAATGTAATGAGAAACCACAGGAGAGTTTTGAGCTGGGAGTGACATGATCTGATTTACTTAAAAAAAAATTCACAGCAGCTTTATTAAGAATGGGTTAGAGGGTGGCAAAAATGGAAGCAGGGGGACAGGAAATATGGTATTACAATAGTCCACTTAAAAGGCCATGATTGCCCTAGCTGGTTTGGCTCAGTGTGATAGAGCGTTGGCCTGCGGACTGAGGGTCCCAGGTTCGATTCTGGTCAAGGGCACATGCCTGGGTTGCGGGCTCGATCCCCAGTGTAGGGCATGCAGGAGGCAGCCGATCAATGATTCTCTCTCATCATTGATGCTTGTATCTCTCTCTCTCCCTTCCTTGCTGGAAAAAAAAAAAAAAAAAAAGGCCACGATGGATAAATAGCAGAGGGAACAGATGAAATGGAACCTCTAGAACAGTGGTTCTCAATCTTCCTAATGCCACAACCCTTTAATACAGTTCCTCATGTTGTGGTGACCCCCAACCATAAAATTATTTTCGTTGCTACTTCATAACTGTAATTTTGCTACTGTTATGAATCATAATGTAAATATCTGATATGCAGGATGTATTTTCATTGTTACAAATTGAACATAATTAAAGCACAGTGATTAATCACAAAAACAATATGTAATTATATATGTGTTTTCCGATGGTCTTAGGCGACCCCTGTGAAAGGGTTGTTCGACCCCCAAAGGGGTCGCGACCCACAGGTTGAGAACCGCTGCTCTAGAATATACCACAAATCTAACAGTACCTACTCTAGATTGAACATGAGAGGTAAGGAGAAGAAGAATCGCAGAAAGCCATTAAGAGGCTTGAGAACCGGTGAAGCAGAGGCCAGGGTGTCTTCCTGATTGATTCCACTGCCCTACCTGCTGGTGGTCCCCAATCAGAATGAGGTGCTGGCAAGCTTTGCTCAACGTGGCAATGGTGTGGGCCTCAAGGACTTCAGCAGCCTCTTCCACAATGACAATCCGAGGCTCTACCTTCTGCAGAATCTGGCGATATTTGGCAGCACCTGTTCAAGAGAAAAAAGAGGCTCCTCTGAGATGATGTACCGGACCCACCAGGCCACTGGGTTTCTGGGTCTGTGACAACTGAGCCCTCACATTCATCCAGGGCTGTGGTGGCTACTGTATGAGAGAACAAGTGCTGCTGGATGGTCACCAGCGCATTATACCCACGTTGGTCACTGCTGGGATTCTAAACGCAACAGGAGCAAGTAGGTGAATTTCACACTCAGTTCCTTAAATACAGTGTGCTTGCTTTCAATAGCTTTTCATGGTACTTTCTTCTAACCTACTAGAGAAGCTTCCTTTACCTGCCGTAGATTATCTGATAGGAGCTTGGCACCAGGAGGGAATGGCTGGAGCAGGTAAATTTCCTCAAGTTCTCTTACCTGTGGTTGTCATTCCTATGACCTGGGCATCTTTCAGAATGTGCAGGTCTTCCTGGAGTCTCAGCTCAGCCATTCTCTCTGCTGATGTGCGGTAGTGGTGCTCATAGTTGAGGATCTTTCGGCGGGTGTCAGCCTGGTACTTCTGTAGCCACAGCCTGAAGAATATGAAGAACCAGGTAGAGGGAGCTGCATACTCTTTGAGAAGGTGGAGTAACTCCCTTTAGTGTGCCCTGTGTTAGAAGTGGAACCTAGACCACTGAGGAGCTTATAGGCAGGCCATAGAGAGAAAGAAAGGAGAGACCCAGACGTGCATAGACCCAAGCGTCTAAAATGCCCAACAGAAAGATGTGTAGAGACATGTATTTAGTCAGGAGTTAAAGAACAGAGGTTAAATATTGGGAATAGAGTAAGGGAATTCAAAAGTTTCAAGAATTATTTCTCCAAATTCTTCCTACCCCATCCTTAGCTGAGTCTTCTCCCCTCCCCAATTCTCCAGTCTTCTTTTACAAGTAAAACAGATCATGTCACTACTCTGCTGTAAAATCTTCCAATGGGGCCCTAGCCAGTTTGGCTCAGAGGATATAGCGGGAAGGGTCCTGGGTCTGGTCCCTGTCAAGGGCATGTGACTCGGTTGCAGGTTCATCCCTGGCCCTGGTTGGGACATAAGCGGGAGGCAACCAATTGATGTGTCTCTTTCACACTGATGTTTCTCTCTCCTTGTCTCTCCCCTCCCACTCTCTCTCAAAAAAAAAAAAAAAAAAAAAAAAAAAAAAAAAAATCAAGTGAGGGTTAACTAAAAAAGAAAAAATTCTTCCAATAGATAAAAGCCTTGCTCCTCACCTTGGCCCTATGAGGCATGCATTGTCAGGCCTCTGTCCACCTCTTTGACTTGACTTTCCATTTCTTTCTGCAAGCCACAGCCATGCTGGCTGTCTTTTTCAATTTCTCATACAGATGTTCCCTCCCTTCTCAAGACCTTTACCCATGAGGTCCCCAAAATCTCATCTGCTCCCACTTCCCCATTGGCCTTATAAATACCTACTCCTCTTTCAGATCTTGCCTCCAATGTCACTTTCTTGAAAACCTAAGACCAGCCCAGATCCCACATAATATTATTAGCACCCCTAGCTCTTTTCTTTAAGTGTTTATGCCCATTTGTAACTTTTTGTGGAATTAACTAATTTGTATCCTTGGATAGACTCTAAACTCCATGAGGAGGTAGAGTCAAGTGTCTTTTATCTCATGGCTGCATCTCCAGCATTCAGCTCAGTGGGGTGGCTCAATCTATCATTAATTAACATTGTTGAAGATCTGGGGGGCATTATATTCTAGGAAAGAAAAGGAACCTCCTGGGGAAATACATGGGTGGCTGGGGGAGGTGAGAGTTGGGCAAAGTACCTATAAAGCTGCCAGCGAGAATTCAGGTCCAGCTGCCAAACATCCTGGATTTCATTGGCCTCAGCCTCAGTCATGGTGTTTAGTTTGCGAAGCTCATACTTCATTTTCTTCTTCATTTTCTTTTTCTGGCTACGCTGGGTCTATAAACATCAATACCAGCCAGAGTCACCATCTCAGCAGAGGTGGGCCCTGTTCTAAGCCATAGGTGTGGGTCACAGCACATAAAAAAGGGGGCTGCCTCCTCTAAGTAACTTCTTTAAGTGTCTCACACTCTCTCAACAGATATTCCATTGCAGAGTGGCTAAATGAGGACTCTGGGACCAGGGTGCCTGGATTCAAAGCCCCATTACCTCTTATTAGTTGCTGGACTTAGAGTAAGTTACTGAACCTCTATGAGCCTCAGCATCGCTTCTATAAAATAGGGTCACAGGGTTGTTGGATTGACTAAAGGAGTAATACATGGAAAGCACTTAGAATAGTGCTGGCACTAGTTTCACTGAACATCTTTTGACCAGTTTGTTTCTCATTTCTAAAAGTTGTGTCATTATAGTAGTGGAGATGAATTTTTCTTGTTAAAAAGTATACAGAGCCTCCTGTACTTATCATGATAGTGCCTTTAAGCAGTGGGTTAAAGGCACCATTTAGGAGAAAGTGCTCTCCCATGGATGTGACTCTGGCATGTGAGACAAATGTCACAATATTATGGACCTTGTCCCACTTCAAAATCAAACAAACTCCTGAGGCCACATGGCAGAGAGATGCCCAATCCACATTTCAAAGTACTGGGATGATGACTCCACCCATCATATACAGTGATGTTGAACTGAACTAAGCGATCAGGTTCAAAGCCATTAGACCAGTGAAAATTGCATCCAAAGTTACCCCTGAAAGTCCTTTAAATCAACAGTGGGTTTCAGAAAATGTTATTTTGAATATCCAGTCCTCTATTATCATAGTAATGCATGCTAAATTTTGAAGAACACTGGGTTCTACCAAAGGAAAGAGCAGAGGGAGAGTCCATATGTGGGCTTCTGGGTATTCACACTATTCTGGCTTTAAGAGAAATATCAAATTCCAGGGAGAAGTATTCCATCCCTGTATGGCTTGTTTCATTCCATTTTACTTAAGTCCGCTAAAATCTTAATGCATATTCAGACTTGTTTATAGTTTCTAGTTTGTAGAAGATAACACCTATGGAAGCATCAAACACTAAGACCATAAGTATTTGATCTGACCCATATGTGCTGCATTTTTTCTGGAAGTTCGAGGAAAGCACTTGACTGTTTAAATTGGTATTTCTTGCCAGGGCCCCTCTGAAGGGCCATACTCTTTATATTCCTGGGAATTAGACGTATCCTATACTAGGGTATGGTTGTAAAAGGGGTAAATCCAGCTTATTGTGAGGATGAGGTGAATACACTGTAATAAAAGTGGGTGGAAAAAAGGGGCTGCCTTTCTGATCAGAACAGATGTTCTCAGGCCGATTTCAGGAGAGTCTAACCCCCACCTACCAGGCAGTAATAACTGAACTCCCATTTCCCATGGTGAGGACTTTAAGGGAAGTGAGTTTACCTCCCACTCTCCTGCGGCTTGCTCCTGCCCAGCTGCTGTCCCAGGGCCACTGTTTTCTATCCTTGTGGCCAGAAGCAATTTAGCCAATTCCTGGACCGCCCCATTCTCTTCCTTCTTCCGCCGCCGGGGTCTCGCCACCTCTTCCTCCTCAATCACCCGGTCTGCTTGAATCAGGTCAGCCTCCTCTGCAATCTCAATCAGAGAACCCTCCTCTTCTCCTTCCTCCTCCTCCTCCTCATCCCCTTCTGCCTGGGCTAAGAGAGAAAAACAGGCAGGACAAGGATGAAGACCTCTTGAAGCCAAAAGATGAAAGAGGGCACCGACAAGAGTTTAGATGGATGAAGACATTCTCAAAGGGATTTAAGTGGTTACCTCTAGGGAGGGACACTGGGAGGAATGAGAGGAGATGAAGACTTAGGTTTCTTTACATACATTTTTGGTACAATTTTTTAAAAATATATTTTTATTGATTTCAGAGAGGAAGGGAGAGGGAGAGAGAGAGAGAGATAAGAACCAAGGATGAGAGAGAATCATTGATCAGCTGCCTCCTGCACGCCCCCTAGTGGGGAGTGAGCCCGCAACCCAGGTATGTGTCCTTGACTGGAATTGAGCCGGGACCCTTCAGTCTACAGGCCAACACTATCCACTGAGCCAAACCAGCCAGGGCTGTTACAATTTTATAATACTCATTTTCCCCTTTAAATGATATCTTTAGCCCTGGCTGGTTTGCTCACTGGTTAGAGCATCAACTTGCACACTAAAGGGTCCCAGGTTTGATTCCTAGTCAAGGGCACATACCTGGATTGTGGGTTTGCTCCCCACCCGTCATGAGGCACGTGCAGGAGGCAACCATATCAATGTTTCTCTCTCTCTGTCCCCTTCCCTACATCCCTTCTACTCTCTCTGACAAGCAATGGAAAACATATCCTCAGGTGAGTGTTAACAAGAAAAATCTTTGCCACATACAGGGAGGGGCAAAAGTGGGTTTACAGTTGTTCATACAGAAAGTAATACAATAATTCATAAATACAGGAATAAACTGTTTTGTGTACTCACAACTATAAATATACTTTTGCCCCACCCCATATAATGTATATATACATCTCTATAACATTGTCTAGTCTTGACTTTTTTGAGCACTATCTGAAATCATATTGTATCTTTTCCCTTGCCTTTTTCATTCAGCATGTTTTTGAGATTCATATGTTCTCTAATTCCTTTTCACTATTGTACAGTATTTCACTATCTGAACAGACTATAATTGCTCAGCAGCATCCACTGTACAAATGTGGATAGACACTTGAGTTCTTTGTTTTTCCAATATCATAAAGTGGTGTACCAACTACCATCCCCACTAGCAGTATATCAGAGCTCCCACTGCTTCACAATCTTATCTGCGTGGTTATACACAGCTTTTAAATTTTTTCCAATCTGGTGGCATAATAGTACTTCATTGTGGTTTTAATTTCTCTAGTTTCTAATGAGCAACTCTCTTATGTTTACTATTAGGATTTCCTATTTTGTGATGTACCTGTTAAAAGTGTTTTATCTATTTTCCTAAGCTATTCTTTCTCTTTTCTGATTAATTAAAGCTCTTTACATATCCTAGGTATTACTTCCAAGTTCTGCTCTTCTGTTCTTTACCAAATTCCACCTTATGATGTGATTCTAGGTAGACACACACTTACCTGTATTTTCAGGTCCCGCTGGAGCAACACTTTGGGTGAAAGAAACGACACCCAGACCCAGCCACTCCAGCATCATGGAATGCTTCCAGCCCTGGAAGCAAACCCATTCACTATCCTGAGGAAGGAAGAATGACCAGTCATGAGAATTCGATGACAACCAGTGTGAAGTAAAGTTCTCCTTGATGGATAGAAAGTAATTTCCTTAAAATTCAGAGGCTGCAAATTGGCAACTGGATCATTTAACTATGACTTGCATAGAATTTTAAAAATAAAAATTTCCTGCCTCTAGACTGGCTTATTTCACTTATTATTATTATTAGCATAATACTCTCCAGGTCCATCCATGCTGTTGCAAAAGAAAGGATATTCTGACCTGGCAGGGAGTTGTATGTCCCTAGGACCTGGGAGTCAACCTTGGAATTTGGTCCATTCTCATTCAAGAACTGCCTATTATCATGGAAAGATTAAGAATCTTCTTGCCCAAACAATGGAGTCCCACCCCACGTTGCCTACTTCCCCATTCCTATAATCCCCATTTCCCCATGTAATCCTTGACCTACCCTATAGAAGCAGCTGGCTTGTGGGGGGCTGCAGAGCAGATTTTTGTGGATGACCTGCTGCTTTCCCATACTGCCAGCAATATTGGAATAAACCCTCATATATGTGATTAAAAAAAATCCTGCCTCTCTTGACAAAATCAGGAGCTATGGCAGCAACAAGGCTGTATTCCTAAATGACAACAAATGGGCTGGAAATGGGTTGCCGCCACCCCTTTTCCAGTTTGCCACAATCCTCTCTACTTCCCAATGCCTCACATCTAACCTGCTCCAGTCATTTTTAGTACCTAATGGACCCCTTTAGGCTTTTGGGTTTGTAACCCTGAAATCCACCAACCCATTAATAACACTAGTAGAAGCACCATTTCCCTAGACTCCTGGCCAGCCACTGTACAGAGACTGTGTTAGCTACCTCACATAACATTTTTGAAGGCAGACATTACTATCCTTGTCTGAGACCAAGTCACATAATCAGTCTGTGTGACTGAAGTCTGCTGACCCCAGGCTTTCTACATGGGCTAGGTTGTCTTGTTATGATATTTCATTTAACAAACATTTATAGCACACTCATTAAGAGGTTTACAAGTATTAACTTGTTTATCTAAATAAAAATCCTGTAAGAAACTCCACTTTTGCAAGCCAAATTTATAAAATGGCAATTTCATATGGTTCAATTTGATATTATTATCCCCACTTTATAACTGAGGAAACAGGCACAGAAAAAATCAAGTAACTTGCTCAGAGCAAAACCAGGATTCCAACCCAGAATGCTAGCTCCACAGTCTTGTTCTTGACTAGTATATTCAGCTGTCTTTCCTCATGAAACGGAACTTCTAACATGGCAGCATCAGATTATCAAACAGCTAATGCTTTGGACTGCTGCTTCTGCTGAAGGCTCCTTCCAAGTACTGAGTCAAGACAGATGCTTGTACTCCCCAAGATGACCTCTACCTGTGTCGGTCCACTCATCAGGCTTTTCCAGTGCTCGGAGGAAATGTACTTCTCCAGGTACTGTTCCCGTAATACGCCACGCATGGTGCACTCCAGAGTCCGGGCCCCTATATGCAGCTCTTGTTCTGACTCCTTCATTTGTGTCATGATCTGCCAAGAACAGTGGTAAAGAAATGAATAGGAAGTATCATCCCCCAAACTCAGTCCCTGCCTTGAGGGAAAACAAAGCTAACACAGGAACAGCAAGAAGGGAGAATAACTATTCTGTGGTCTTAAAACAAAAGGTTTAGTATCTAAATTGTCTAAAACAGCGGTTGCCAACCAGTGGCCCGCGGACCAAAGGTTGGCAACCGCTGGTCTAAAAGACTCCTACCAATCAGTAAGGAAACAAATACATTAGAAATATAGGCCAAGGATACTGTGAGAGACTCCCCCCCCCCCCCCCCCCCCCCCCCCCGCCGGTAAAAACTCAGAGTTTTAGCTGGGCACATGGCTGACCAGCTAGAAGATGGTTAATAGGCTATAAGTGAAGTGCTGTGGGTAGTTTGGGGGAATCAGCATGAAGCCCTGGCAGGAGTTGGGAGGGGGCAGCATTCCCTTTATTGCCTTTTCTCCACCTCAGATTATAAGAGTTAAGGTCACACTACAGAATTAGCAGAATGTAATGCTGGAATAAACTTGGGTCCTTCATAGCTTTGTGGAGCCGCTATCTGCTTTGGACTGTCTACCCAGAAAGCCAATGCTATCTTGTTTAGTTCCCCTTTGAGCTACCTCCAATATCCACAGCTGGGACTTACACTCATGTAGGCCCTCCGGAGATGCATGGGGAGATTTCGGCGGAATTCCCGCTTGTTCCTCAGCTCCCTCAGCGTAAACTGCTTCAAGATGTCACTGCTGCTCCTCCCACCTACCCGCACGATACTGGGCTTCTGACACTTATAGATACCTGTGGAGAATGGTGAAGCACAGTAGAGTTGAGAGAAGTTTTGCTGGATTCTCTCTAATGAGAAAGGTAAGTGTTTGGGGTGTTGCGTCAGCTGGTTTATTAGGGAACAAACTGGTGCTTACAGGAAATCTACCCCATTAATGAGCAAGAAGGCCCCAGAGATTATATGATCTGCACAGCAGTAAAGTGTGGTGCTTAAGAGCACAGGCTTTAGCCCTAACCTGTTTGGCTCGGTGGACAGAGTGTTGGCCTGCGGACTGAGGGGTCCTGGGTTCGATTCCGGTCAAGGGCATATACCTTGGTTGCTAGCACATCCTTAGTAGGAGGTGTGCAGGAGGCAGCTGATCGATGTTTCTAACTCTCTATCCCTCTCCCTTCCTCTCTGTAAAAAATTAATAAAATATATATATATATATATATATATATATATATAAAAAGCACAGGCTTTAGAATCAGACAATTGAGAACTCAACTTATTGGCTCCACAATTTATTGCTATGTAACCTGGGGCAAGTTACTTAACTTGAGCCTCAGTTTCTTCATCTGTGATTTGAAAACAGTAATACTTTCCTTATAAGGCTAATCTGTACAAACTAAAGAATATCTTTATAGCTCCTATACAGGGACTGGCATAAAGTAAGCTCTTAGTAAATGTTCTCTATAATTCACCCTACATATATTTACTGCTTGGTTACTATGCGTCAGACATATGCTAGGTTCTGAAGATATATATAGCAGTGAAAACACAGACTCCATTTCTAATTTGTTATCATGTCTCACAGTCTGAGAGACAATATACACATTAAACCACTTATCACTATAGTGAAAATATGGTAGTTACTATAAACACATGATGTGTACATATGTAACAGGGGACCTTACCTAGTTTGGATGAGGTAGGGATCTAATTCTTGAGGATCTAATATTTAACTGAGAATCCAAGAATAAGGAAGATGTGCCTGGCTGGTGTGACTCAGTGGTTGAGCACTGACCTATGAACCAGGAGGTCACAGTTGGATTCCTGGTCAGGGCACATGCCTGGGTTGCGGGCTCAATCCTCAGTGTGGGGCATGCAGGAGGCAGCCGATCAATGACTCTCTCTCATCATTGATGTTTCTATCTCTCTCTCTCCCTCTCCCTTCCTCTCTGAAATAAAAACAAAAATAAAAAGAAAGAATAAGGAATATTTAATTTAGGTGAAAGGAGGATACAGGAGAATTCAGAAAATAATATTCTAAACAAAAGGAAAAACATACTTATTCATTCATTAATGCAGTTAGTATTTTTTTCAGTGCCTAGAATGTGCCAGGATCTGTGAATATAGCAAGAAACAGGACCAGCCCTCATGATGTTTACAGCCTAGGGTAAAGCCACATAAAAATAAATGGCTAGGGCCCTGGCTGGTTTGGCTCAGTGGATGGGGCGTCGGTCTGAAGACTGAAAGGTCCCAGGTTCAATTCCAGTCAAGGGCATGTACCTTGGTTGCAGGCACATCCCTAGCAGGAGGTGTGCAGGAGGCAGCTGATCGATGTTTCTCTCTCATCGATGTTTCTCTCTATCCCTCTCTCCTCCTCTCTGTAAAAAAAAATCAATAAAATATATTAAAAATAAATAAATAAATAAATAAATGGTTAGGTATGTGCTAAATCTCTGAAGAAAAAATATAAAAGGAAACTTAACGTTGGCTTGGGGAAATATTAAAGTGCACCTGAAGAGAGATTTAAGGTGAAACTGAAGAATGAATACTGAGCCAGCCAGGCTGGATGGATCAAGACGGAGAGAGAGGTAAAGAGAAAAAAATGCATTCTAAGCAAGGGGAACAAAACGGACCGAGGAAGAAGCTGAGGGATTCAAGGCATTGAAGACAATGGGAAGAGGTAGGAGATGAGATTCAGAGTCAGGCTGGAGCAGATGACACAGCCTTACAGGTCATGGTTAGTACTGTGGACTTTATTCAAAGAGCAATAGAAAGCTACTGAAGTTGCTAATGGTTCAACGATAAATGTTTTGATAGAGACCAATTTTGCATAGACATTACCTTCCAAAAACTGATCCAAAGCATGATTAGTATAACACACAACCAAGATGGGGAACTTCTGGAGGCTAATTTGCCAAACATTCTCATTGGTAAGAAGGGCTTGAACAATTTTTAAACCCACATAGGTTTTGCCTAGAAAATAAGAAAAAAGGAAAATTAGAAAACTTGGAGACTTACTAAAAGTAGTTCTTAATTTTAAAAAATCGTTATTATTATTTTATTTAAGGTAATACACTGAGATGGCTTAAAATCCAAGAAGCACAAATGAGCATATTATAAAAAGCCCTCTCGTTCTTCCGTCCCCCAGCTACCCACTTCCTCCTAAAAGCAACCAATGTTACCAGTTTCTTGTCATTCGATGCATATATAAACAAATATGAATATAGTTATTTTCTAGCCTTCCTCTTTCTTTTTTTTAATACAAATAGTAGCAGACTATTTTCACTGTTCTACATCTTTCATTTAATCCTGGAGGTAGTTCTCTATCGATACATAACAAGAATCCTCCCTCTTTTTGTTTTTCACAGCTGCAAGGTAATTTTTAGCCAGTTCCCTATTGATGGACATATAATTTGTTTCCAATCTCATGTGGCAAATTATTTAGAAATGCTTTTAATATACCACAGTGGACTTCCCTTTGTAATAGGAGGGAAAACCAGAAATCAACAATGGAGTTACAGTTGTGGGTTTATCAGCAAATGTCCAATAGTTAATTAAGTCTACAAACAGCTAAATTTTTACATAGTGTCAAGCTGAGAAAGCAGCCATTGTCCTCAAAAAACTCAGAGGAGGAAGA